CGACCGGGACCGCTGGTTTTTTCTAAATTCGTATTCAGCACTCTCAGCGCTGTCAAACTCACAACAACTCTCACCACGTCCGACGCTGCCGCACCGACCAGGCGTCGAGCGAAGAAGAAGCTCAAGACGCCAACGGACATGAATTGGACAAACATGAACTGGTTGATCGAGTTGCCGAATTTCTGCAGCGAATTCAGTCTCGTAGGGACCCTGGGAGTTCACAGGAGAGATGTGGTTCCTCTTGGAGCCAAATCGGAAGATTTAGGTGTGCTAATCAGAACTGTGTGCTTATAGGAGTTTTCAATATATTTACTCATGAATGCCTCAAAAATGATGCCGGGAGGGGCCTGCGCCGACTGGATGAAGACTTCTGAAGAGCGGCCACAGTATACCCAATGGTTGCGACTCTCCGTAATTCCCACATGCTTCACAAAGAGCATTGTTTCCGCTAGCACCGATGTTCCGAGACTCCGCGATTTCTTCTTTCCGATATCGGCATGTCGCCGAGCGCACAGGGCTCCGGAGACGTTCCGGTATGGACGTCGGAACGCATTCAAATTTGGAGGGCTGACCTCAAGGAAATAATGAATTTTCCAGGATCCCCTTAGTAAATCATCGAGGAATTGACGTGTTCTCTGGAGCAAGCTCGTTCGATCGATCCATGAAGCTAGGAGGGTCCCCCGAAAACCAGGGATCGGGGTCCAGGAGGAAGAGCTTACTGACAGAGCGGAACAGATTATTCCTTTGAGCTAGCGGGCGAATTTCGCCCATCGCAATGTCGGTGATCACCGTGCATTGACCACGAACTGTTTACCCAGCTCGAAGCGAGCGATTGATCCAGATTGGCGAGGACGCTGCTCCAGGCTGATTAGAATCGACTTTTGTAAGGCAGCCTGATAAACAGATGCAGAGACGGAGCCCAGGATGGGAAAAACCCTAGAGGTGATTCGTGGCAGCTCGATCTCGATTTACGCTTTAGATATTCTGTCATCTCACTCTTCCAGGGTCCATGCTCCCTAACAAATCCTTCCTGACAGGAGATTGAAGAAGGAGATGAAGCACATCCCGACCGCTGTCCAGTAAATATCACGAACCCATCCTCCCTTGACCACACGGTTCTATATTTTCAAGCTCTATAGAGGACTTCGAGAGATACATATGTACGTGATGGGGCGACAGATGGAGCATCCCCTCTGGATAGCCGAGCAGGATTTCCAGGAGACGCTTATTTCTGCTAGCGACCCGAGTACCAGCATCAGACTAGCAGTAGATGGATGAGTTGAGCTGGGTAAAGTAATCGTCCGAAGGTGGGATATATGTCGGAATTCCTCAGCAGCTGGAAAAAAAGATCAGCATGAGCGAAGGAATGGAGAGTCCCATCCCCGATCCACGGTTCAACCCGATCATTGTCCGAGATTATTCCACTTCACAGCGCACGTTCCCGAGCCCGTCTCACCTCTAATCAGAGCTCCTAACGCCTCGAAGTGTGCGTAGGCTCTCAATCTTCGAGGATATCTTTCGTGGTTTGGATGACTAGACTGACATAGGACACACAACAGCCCAAGGTGGTCATGATCGCCGCGCGGTCGAGTTTATAAATTTTCCATGCCGTAATTTGCACTTTCTGTTCCATTTGACTGAGCAGTAAGCGTATCTGTGGACGGAAGCGCGATCCTTTCAGTCGAGATACCCGATGCTTCCAAAATTTATCAAGAATCGTCTGGAACCGCTCCGATGAATCAATAATTCCCGTCACTAGCCTGATGGGATATCGGAGCCCCTCCGTTCGTTCTACACTGGAAAGAGTTGACCAGCACTCGAGATCGGTCTCTGCATTCGCAAGCGAGTGCTGCGCTCCCCGTGAAAGCGACTAAGAGTACAAACGTTAGCGATACAGTCCCGAGGCTTCCGAGGAAACGCAGAAGTTCGAAATTCCTCTTCATCATCTGCAATAGATGACGCCATCAGACAATGATGGGGGTCACACAATATTGCCTTTGCCCTTGACCGTCCGTTTCATGGACGACTGCGGCAGGGGTGATCTCCTGAACAGAAAGCTCAGCTCGTGTCTACTATTCTCCTAGCTCAGAAACTGGGGAAGCTCATCACGTGATGCCATACAAGGTCTATGCTCCGGGTAGAAGATTCTCCGCTAAGCTGCCTTGGCTTTCTCGACTCCGCAGGGTCGTAGCAGTCGTTCACAAATTCCAAACTTCCGAAGGCGTTCCCTTCCCCCTACAATCCGTAGGACTGCGCACATGGGGAGACCCTGGCCGAGCTCATTGGAACAATCTGGATCTGGGGGACACGAGCACGCGTCGCTCCCAGGGGTAGAGCGCAATGCTCGATCGACTGAGCCATCTCAAGGGCGGAATCCGTTGCATTTTCGAATATTTACTCTGATTCCTAAATCGGGACCAGCCGAAATCAATCCGGGATGATGATGAAAAAAAATCTGGATAATCTTCAAGGAGCGAGCTACTCACTAGGAACGAGGCGCCAGACTCCACGCAGGCCTGAGCCACGCAAAGTCCGTGCCAAAAGAAGCACTGCAAACAGAAAATTTCGTCGAATGCTTGAACGTATTCGCAGAATCTCGCGTGCTGCAGCCGTAGCTCCTTCGCCTGATCTTCGACCACCATCTGTATCTCTCCGTCACTCAATTTGCGAAGCTCATCATCGAAATGCTGAACTTTCGAGTCGAAGAGCTGTAGAAGTTAAAGTCGTCATCGAAAAACATGCGTCTTTCCACCTATTCTAAAGCGTCTCATCTAGAAAGAGGATGCGTGACTCCTCGGCGATATAGTGAGAGTTCGTTTTCCGACGTCAAACTGACCATATTCACGAGAACGAAGAAAAAGATGCCAAACGCCACCGTTGCGGTCACGAAAATCCGGTTGATCAACATGTCCAAGATAGCAATGACGTACACCCAAGGAATGAGGAACTCGGGAAGCATCTTGTGCGGAATGAATAAATCCGTTTCGATGTAGAGAATGAGCCGTTTGTCAACAAAGAAAGTGACGAGGTCAAGCGTGAAGCGGTACGCCACATAGAGCCATAGGAAGCACACCGATGCCTTCGCTAATCTGCACACACTCGCGTTCCTGTCGGCTGGAGGAAGTCTCAGGGAAAATCCCAGCGGTACTTTGAGGAATGGCCTGTCTTTTGTCAGTTTCTATGCATTCTCTCACTCGAATGGATCATCGGGAACTTGCCTCGTGTTGGAGCTTCATCGATGAGACGGATCACCGAGTGCAATTTTTCTAAATTCGTATTCAACACTCTGAGCGCGATTACAGACGAGAGGATTCGCACAACGTCCGATGCTGCGGGACCGACAAGGTGTCGGGCGAGGAAGAATCTCAGAACGAGAACGGCCAGGAATCGAACACACATGAACGAGTTCATAGAACTGCCGACATTTCGCAAGAACTTCACTCTCGTAGGCTCCCTGGAAGTTCAAAACGGAGGCGTGGTTTTGTTAAAGCTTAGTCGAAGGATCTACGCGTCCTCCTGAGAACTGTATGCCCATCAAAAGTTTCCCGGGTTCCTTACTCATGGTTGTCGCCGATATGACGCCGGAAGGGACCTGCGCCCACAACAAGTAGACTTTTGAAGAGCGGCCACAATACATCCAATGCTGGCGACTTCTCCGTGATTTCCACATGCTCAACAAAAAGCATCTTCTCCGCTGGAACCGATGACTGGAGATTCGGCAAAGCCTTCTCTCGAACATGAGCGAAGCTCTGAGCGCTCGTCTGTCCCGCAAGGGTTCGACATGGTCCTCGAAATGGATTTCAGCGTCAGAGGCTGACCTTCGAAAATGATAAAGGGTCTCGTTAGCTCAATGCGTCATCGACCGTTCGGCGTGTTCTCTGGAGCGAGTTCGTTCAATGAATGAAGCTGAAGAGCTCCACTGAAGGTACGGACATCAGAGGTGAGAGCACACCGACGGGTCGCGTCGGATTCCTCTGAGCGTGCTTGGGTCTTCGCGCCGGAGACGATCGTCGCCGTTACCGTATTGATGGCACCTCGATCCTGAGTTCCACGGCTACCTTTCGTGACAGTGGTTCTCCACGAGCTCAGCCCTTTCCTTGAGCTTAGCTGACAAGAGCACAGCATTCCTCCTGAGAACTCCTAGCATTCACCAGAGGAATTCTATGTAAGATCACGGCAAACACGCAGTTCCGGTCCTGGGACAGCTACTGCTATACGCGGCAGTCTTCGTTACAGTCAGAGTCGAGCAAAGCACGCGTCGTACCGAGCGACGCTTCGCCCCTCGGAGGGCGTTGCTGCTTCTCTCGCTCGATCTGCAGACCGAGATCCGTCGACGAGACGTCTGGTCCCGTCCACCGGCGCCATCCATCATCGCAATTCGGAATTCTCGATCGATCGACTCCAGAGCTTGACCACGTAGTTTTTCCATATTCTTCATATTCAACCGGAATCCCGGTCTGACTCATCGCGATTTCCTCCGTCAGGGTCGAACTGGCACCATGAGCGGAACCGTGTTCAAAAGGAGGACATAATTATCGCCATAACGTCACGTATCATACATAGCTTTATTGATCTAATCGAATGTAACACTATTTCATATCACAAGATGATGTCCCTCCCTTCCCGATGGCGATCTTTCAGCAGATCGAGCGGGTCTACCCCTCCAAAGGCTCCAGTAGTTCCTCCTTTTTTCTCATCAGTTCTGTACGATCGACCTGAGGTAGGTTTCTCGATCCGTACATTAAAGGCAGAGCAAAATAGGCAAAGCCCATTGAGCCACGTATTCTCAAGGACCTACCAGGACCAAGTCCAGGCTCGATCCCATTGTTTAAAAAGTGTCCGGAGTCGATGGCCTACTCCTCACCCTATGGACTGACGTGGTGAGAAAATTCGCGACAAACGACCGAGTGGATCTGGGTCGACTCGCAACCGTGGGAGACCCCAGTCGATCGTTTACAGGGAAAAAAACGGTGCGGTAATCGACTCTGTCGTTCAGCCAATCAGTTCTCTAGAGCATCTTCCGTTCTCTGAATGACGAGGCTGACATACGTGACACAAGCGCCTAGAGTTGTCATTATCGCAGCCCGGTCGAGTTTATACATTTTCCATGCCGTAAGCTGCACTCTCTGATCCATTTGACTTACCTAGTAGTAAGCGAATCTGCGAACGAGAGCGCGACCCTCAAACTGGGTATCCCAGCGGGATTCTGATGGACCGACTTATGATAAATGAATGTATTAGGAATTGTCTCCGATGGCTCGCAGAATCAATAATTATCTCCGCTAACCTGATGGGATACGGGGGAGCCGGCGCCTGTCCTGGACTGGAGGCAGTTGACGAATACTCGAGATCTGTCTCTGCATTCGCAGACAATAGCCGCGCTCCCCGTGTTAGCAACCATGAGGACAACCATTATTACTAAGTTCCCGAGAGTGCCGAGGAAACGCAGAAGTTGGAAGTTCCTCCTCATCATCTGCAATTCATTAATTCTGTAATCCATCTTGTGCCCTGACGACCCTTCTCCGGATTCGAGAATTATTGGAATTGACGTATTTCGAGCATTGAAATTCCCTTAGATAACCAGATCGAGAATGCTAGGCTACGACACTCCACAAAATTCGAGAAAAAATTGAACAAGTCAGCTACTGACTTGAACCGAGGCAGCGGATTCTGCACAGGCCAGAGCCACGCAGACGGCGTGCCAAACAAGGTTTTGGAGGGAAAAAATATCGTCGGAAATCTGTGCGTATTGGCACAGTTTCGCATGCCTCATCCGCAGCTCCAAAGCCTGATTTCCGTCAAGCACATATTCGTCTCCATCACTTAGACGGCGCAGTTCTTCGTCGAAATGTTGAACTTTCGAGTCGAACAGCTGGAAAGGTTGCAGTCATCAAAGAATGGTAGGTCCTTCACGTCCCAGCGAATTCTATTCTCACGGGACGACGACTCCTCAGCTCGAAGTCCAACAAGCTAACTCATTGAAAATTCGAACGTCAAGGTCTGACCAACCATATTGAGGAGAAAGTTGAGAGTGATGGAGAAGGCAAGTGCTCCAGTCACGAAGATCCGATTTATCAGGATGTCCGAGATAGCGACAACGTACATCGGAGGTATGAGAAACGGGGGGAGCACCCCGAACGGGATGAACAAATCCGTTTCGAGGTAGAGAGTGAGGCGATCGTCCACAAAGAACGTGACGACGTCTAGCGTGAAGCGGTACCCCACATAGATCCACAGGGAGGCCAGCCAAAATTTTGCTAATTTGCATAAGCTCGCGTTCCTGTAGGCTAGAGAAAGAATCGAGCTATATCTCAGCGACCGGTACGCTGAAAAATCGCAGATATTTCCTTAGACTCGGTGCATGTTGTGATTCAGGTCATAAAAGGAACTTGCCTCGGGTTGGAGCTTCATCGATAACGAGAATTACCGAGTGGAGTTTTTCCAAATTTGCATTCAATACACTCAGCGCCGTTACACTGCAAACGGCTCGAACGACATCTGAAGCTGCGGCACCGACAAGATGTCGAGCAAAGAAGAATCTTAGAACACCGACCGCCATGAATCGAACTAACATGAATCGGCCTATAGAATTGGCAAGCTTCTGCAACGGCTTCTGTCTCATAGACCCCCTGAAAGTTTCCGGAACAGTTATGAGTCCCTCCCTCGCAGCCACTCCAGAAGATCTTCGGATCCTGTTCGGACCTGCGTGCCCACGGAATCTTTCGGAGCCCTTACTCATATGTGCCGTCAACATGACGCCGGAAGGGGCCTGCACCGACCACATGAAGACTTTTGAACAGCGGCCACAGTATATCCACTGCTTGCGACCTCTCCGTGATTCTGGCGTGATTTGCAAAGGGCATCTTTCCCGCCCAGAGCGGGGATCCGAGTCCGGGCACTCTCTTCTTCCACATATGTGCGAACCGTCAAGCGCTCAAGGCTCTCGCAGCTTTTCTGTACTGAAGTCACAGTGAATTCTCAACTATTTGGATGACCTTCAGGAAATAATAATTTTTCCACGGTCCCGTTGGTCCATGATCGGAGATCCGACCTGATCCCTGGAGCGAAACGGCTCTATCTCCATACATGAGGTCTGACGATTT